ATCTTTATTTCATGTGAATTCACCTGTCGGAGCAGGGAGATGCCTTTTCATGTCACTATCTCGTGTGGTCTTGGGAAAGGGGTTAGTCACTGCGCAACTGCGCTGCTTCCAGTTCTGGAACTGACTGGTGCGGGCCTGGCTCACCAGCCTGGTGCTCTGTTGCTTGGCGTAGGTTTTCCTTTACTGAAAAACTGTTTGTCTTATTTCAGTGTTTCTGAGATATGCCGTGGTGCAAAACGACCTCTAACTTAATGACAGTGACTCATTCTGGATTATTTTGGGGGCCCTCCATGCAATGATTTACGTTCTTTAGAATGTGTCCCTGGGGCGGCACGGAGCGTGCTGCAGCCCCCCTGCTAAGAGCACATGAGTTTGGACAATGCAGGCTGTGCAAGGGTACCCCAAGATTCATCCACAGCTTTACGAGACATGCTAGACCAAATGCAAGGAAGCTTGCTTTGTGTCGTGATCTTTTATAGTTACTGTAATCTAACATGTTTAATTCATTTCTTCTAAGTGAGGTGATTGTTTGAGGCTACCCTGGTCGTTTCCTTTGTCTGCCACGCTTCCTTTCTTCTCCTGTTTTTCCTGCAGGCCTCTGGCTGTACCTGGCAGGAAGCGATCTTCCCTGCCTAACGTTGATTGGCTCTCCTAATTTCGGATATCGATCAGTTCATCGTGACTTGGAAGCTCAGGTTGCGATAGTGACAGAAAATAAAGCTTTGCAGCAACAACTCCATCAGGTAAGTGGCTGATGACAGGGAGATAACAGGGATGTTGTGCTTCTTGGTCACATAGGGAATGCTGATGACGCAGTTGCAATAAAAACCTGCAGCTACAATAATTCAAAACCTTCTCGAGCATAGGAAATCTCGAGGAGCTGTCAGTTAAGTGACTATTGATGAGATGCCTGCTGCAAGTGCCTGTTTCTGGGAAATGGAGGCCATAACGGGAAAGAACATGTGTCCCCAGTGAACTCGAGTATCGGGAGTGCTCAGGTACTGGATGCTGAGAGAGGATCTGCTGGCTCTCCTCTGCTCACTGATCACACAGCACGTTCTTGGGCCTTATCCCCAGTATTTGGGCATTGCCAAGGTCGCACCATGCTCTAGGATAACGAGGTCAGGCCCTTTGAATTGCTGATCTTGGACTTCTGGAGGATTTTGCTTCTCAGGCATTTGGGAAATCCTTTGTAGGAATATAAATGCTGATCGGTTAGCTTTTGGGTGGCTGCCCACAGGCTGTGGAGGTGAACAAAGGCAGGGGATCTTAGTGTTCTCAGTGTAGTTTCTAGAAGAGGAGGATTTCTGGGCTGGTTGGATTGCCCATGAAGTTACACGACATAGTATAATCTTGAATAATAATATGACATCATATAATCTCGACACAAATATTTTTCAGTGGTTTAATGTTCAGTGTCCCAGGTGGGGTTTGGGGGGGGTTGGGTTTTTTTTTTTAATTATACAGCTCGGACTGCTCAGCACTTTTGCTGCTTCTCTAAATCCCGTCTGTTTCTCCAGCTGTCTTGACTCTAAATCTTCTGCTGGTACTGACAGGGTCCCAAGTAATTTCTCATGTAGTGCTCCAATACAAAGCAAATTGGTTTGGTGCCTCTGTGTGTGACTTAGGGATCTCAAAAATGTATTCTGTTAAGCCAAGTCCTGGCATAAGAAGGCACAGTTGTCTTCAAGATCAATGGGAATTGCCCTGTTGCATCAGGGCTCTTCCACGGGATGAGTCAGAGTACATCTAATCAGAAACAATTCTATTACTGGAAGAGTTGCTTGAATATTTCAATTCATATCTTGCCTCTACTTGTTTTTAATGGAAGGGGAGAATCAATGAAAACATGACAAAGGAATTTTCTCAAACAGTGCTGCAGTGATCTAATTTAAAGGGCTTTAAACCATTCCCATTTGCTGGAAGCTGATTTTGAGATTGGCTGTTTGTTTACTGTTCTGTGATCTTTGTTTAGAAGACTTAATACATTACTGGTACACTGCCATGAAATCACTTTGCCTATGTAACGTTCAGTTCCATTTTAAAAATGTGTGATGAGATTTGGGAAGAAATTTGAGTGGTCTGGGTATCTCTGGGTGCTCCACTGAATGAACTGAACTTCAATTCAGATAACTGGTCTCGCTTCCCAGTGATCAGATGACCTCACTGTATCAGATGAACACGGTGCGGGATCTTCATAGCAGGGCTGACTGTAGCTCTTGAAGTGTTTTGGGTTTCTAAAATTAGACTGATTTAGCACACAAAAGTCTTCCTTCTGTCGTTGGTTCATCTTTTTGGTGTTGCTTTCCAATGCTTGGTTCCTGCGTCCCTATTCCACCCTGAATTTAAACAGTGCAGAGCATTTTCTGTTGTTTGTGACAGCTAATCTAATGAAAAAAAGATTATGAACAGACTTACAGTAGATGGTCTGCTCCTTGTTTGCCTGCAAATCTAGAAACCTAACTGGCTTTGATAAGAAAACCACTTCTACCTTTGATCAAACAGCTGCTTTCACGTGCAATGCGAGCATGTATTGTCATCATGATGGTTCATTTCCTCCTTCAGCAGCATTGTGTACACACTGGAGAAGCCTAAGTGTTTCTGGTAATTTAGTTGAAATCATGACTGCATATTCATTTGAAAACACGGTGCTTGAGCTGTGTCTAGAAAGAGCTGCGTAAGCTAGTCTCTTGAGATTATGGTAAGGTTTCCTTTTCTGGCAATTACAGCGAGGGATTTAGGATTTTTCTGAAACTGAAGCTTAGCTCTCTTGCAACTGTGGGGCACAAAAAGGCAAAACCTTCTACCTTTGCTCTTCGTAGAGTTTAAATTGCTAGTTCTTGAGGTTCGGTTACTGAGCACACTGATAGTCATCAAAAGGTGGAGTGCTGTGGCAGGCGGGTGTGAAGGACGGATCCTGTGCTCGCTCCTTGGTGGTTCAAGTGCTCTGTGAGTTGTGCTGCATGGAATGAGACTCTTATGTTCAGGCTTGTGGGAGAAATGATGCATCCATTTGGCAGGATCCGTGGCCAGTTTTATCTGAGAATACGGTTTTCTTAAAGACCATTATATAATTTAATACTTAGGATTTACTGGGATGATGTTCCTTTCCCTGTATAGGAACAGGAGCAGCTTTACCTCTGCTCAGGTGTAGTCTCCTCATCAACATTTGAGCAGCCAAATCGTTATGTGAAACTGTGGGTGAAGCTGGTAACGCCTCTGATCAAGAATTTCTTTTGAAAGAAGAAAAGTTGCTGCTTTGGGTGAGTTTTCTGCCATTCTTATGGGGAATTTATATTACACTGACTGCAGTTAATAAGTGCACTACTCTCATGTGGAAGAAACAGATGATGGAAACATAGACGATGTGGGGAAAAAACAGGCATCTCTCTTTTCTTCTGGGGTACTTGCCACTGACTGGAATAATTGCTCAAGGTCTATATTGGGTTTCATGTACTAGAATTTCTGGAAGGGTCAGTGAAAGAGAACCCATACAAGGGTATTTCCCATGCATAGAAATAAAACTTCCATTTTTGAAATGTCTCTTTTAGAGTTTTGTGGAGAAGAGACTGTGTTTATTTTATCTTGACCAGCTAATAGAAAACATTGCTGGAATATTTAAAATGTTTTGTCTTCTTTTTATCTGATCAGCGCTTTGCTTTAACCTTGCAGATGTTGGTTAACAGGGGCAGTTGTTTTTGCTTTTGTGCTTCGTACAGTGTCCTGGATTTGCCTGGCTGTTTGACTGTCCAGTAACTGGAGCCCCTCTGAGCTTCATGGAATCACTCTTAGATATTTTTTTTTTTTTCTGTGCTGTGCACATAGTCCATGCAGTGGACACCTAAGGTGTGTGCCCTTGATGCTGAGTGTTCACGCATCCATGTTATTTACATAAATATGGCCTCCATCTCTGGGGTTGTGTATCTGGCTCCTTCATGTTAAGATGCATTACAAGTGTCTTTCATGAATTGTGGAGAGGACGTGAGAGGACTTTTGGTGCTAATGTGGTTTTTTTGGATGTTACTTGCTGAAAGTGGGAGGCTCAAACCGTAACACATGTCCTGCAAAGAAGTTGGTTGGGAAGCCAGATAAAAATGTGTTAGGGCGCAGGCTTGGGCTGCCCTGTGAGTTTTGCTGGTGGAGTATGTGCAGTGTGTTCTGATCTTGTATTGCCAACAAAAGGGATTTCTGGCACCCAAAAAGGCTGAAGGTAAGTGTAAAGCTTAATGGGAATTTATTCTGAATGCTTGTTATAAAGAAACAAGCAGCTCTACTTGCTTCTCCTTATGGCTTTTCTTACCACTAGCTGCGAGGGAAGTTCTATGCAACTGTATTTTAGAACTAATTGTTCAGATATTTCACGGGGTGGGATTTTGGTGAATTATTTTATGCTAAAGGGACAGGCGTTGGCTTCCGTATGGTGGCCAGAGCAGATCTAATCACCCTAATAGGCGTTACTGCTGATACAAATTATTTGTTGTGGAAGAAAGGGTAGAGTAGATTCTATAACCTAGAAATAGAAAGAAACATACTTCAGAGATTGATCTGTTTGCAGCTGGGCTTTCTTTGGGTTGTACAGGTTGACGTGTTGGTGAACTGGGCCAAATCTGCGCCTTTCTTCTTCTGTCTGGTCTAAACATATACGTGCTTCCATGCAGGAATGTGTGGTGCACATGGCTTGATGAATTTCTGCTTGCAGTTAGTGCTGAGTGATCAAACAAATAGCTGTGGAAAGACAGAGAGCTATGAGAAGGAAAGGAATCCGGATAGTTGCATGCAGTTGTTCCGTTTGGCTTCCTTCGGTGGTCTGGCTCTCAACCAGCACTTTATCAGAAACCACCAATTGAAAACCAGTATCTGTCATGAGAAACTCCATGTATTGTAAGAACAGTCTCCACATGACAGCAGTTCCAGCACTGTTTTTATTGATACTTTGCTAAAATAGTTCTGGAACAATCAAATTTAGTCTAAGTTACACAACTTTGAGGGTTTTTTTTTTCAAGTAAAAGCATTTGCTGTTTTCCATAGTCATTAAAGTTTAGATCTGTAAGAGCAGAGCAACAGCGGCAAGGATCCACTTAGCGGCTTTTTCTTTTGTCTTTAGGTTAAAGGTCCAGACATAGGTGGGACCTCGCATCCGTGTCTTATAGACAGGACATTCATAGACGTTCTTGGTGTCCATGCGGTCCACAGGGATGGCTCTGATGAAGATGACTGGCATCATGGGCGTCAACTCCTTCAGTCGAGCATCTGCGATCGCACCAGAGGGGATGTCCCATCGAGCGCCTGCAATATTATGAAATTGTCCGGGTGCCAGCTACCCAGTGGCTTTTTCACTTAGAGGGGGCTGTTTTCATAACTACTGCTGGGTGGGAAGGAGTTGCTCCAGCAGCGCAGTCGAGGGTGGAGTGTGCAGGTTGGGTAGCCATGGCTTAGTAGTCGTTAGGGCTAACATGTTGTCATCTCACTGTGACTCATGAATGCATTTTGCCTTACTGTGTGTGGGATGTCTAAATAAAATCTGTCCCCACTCGCCCCTTTAGCATGGGTTTGCATGAAAGCTGCATAGCTGAAGGTAGGACTTGGCCGTGGTGGGAGCTATGATAGCTGTCCTGTGTGGTCTGTGCGCTTGTTTAAGTGGACCCCTTTAGTGCTCTGCTGATACTGCCATCTCATTCCCCCTCGTTTTTTAGCAGTAATTACTTTAGGTTCTGAGTTTCCCCATTTGTCTTACTCGCACACCAAATAAGAGCGTAATATATTTATTCACTAGAACCACATAGCTTCAGACAGCTCCGTCCTCAGGTTCATGATACGCGGTCTGAATTTCCCCAAAACAGCTTCTGGTTTGTGAAACTCTGCTTGTAAACTGGACGGGTGCTGCCCTCAGCTGGCGTGTCTCTGGCGTTCGCGTGGAACAAAGGCTCTGCAGCTTGGAGCTTTTGCAAAAGCTGTACGGATTCAAATAAGCCAGCGAGTGCTAACACCTGCTCTGTTTGCAAGAATTTTTAAGGCTGAACTGGGCTTTCTCTGTGTCTGAAACATCTCATAAAAGATGCCGTCTTTTACCTTCCATGAATAATCCGTGCACATAGGAGCCTTCTCTGGGTGGAGCTGTTATATCCTCACGGTTTTTCTTGGTCACTTCCACTGAAAGACACATCTTGTCCAGTGGCCATTCGTTTTTTCTGGCCATGGACTGCATGATAGCAGTGAGGAAGGACTGGGGATTGAAGAATCCTGCCAGCCACACTGTTGCAGGCAGCACAAAGTCTGTTGTCCAGACTTCCAGTTCCTGGAAAATAAAAACAACAAAGTACTTCAGAGTGAAGCATGGCCTTTGAGCAGCAAAATACTGCTTTGAGATATGATGTGACAAAGAGCTGCTGCTTCACTCTGCCTAACGTGAGCTTCAGGTAATCTTCCAGATGGGGAGGCTAGGATGGAGGTGGTTTGTGGTGAATAAATAGCAGATTCCACTGCAGCAATGAAACTTAAACTGTTAGTTTGGAGTGCAGTAAATACTGCTGCTATTTTTTTTAACAAAGCTACACTTTAAATAGATGTTTTTATTAAATATTTTTTTCTTCTGAGTCATATAAGCTAATGTTATTTTGAAACAGTGATATACTCTAATGGTGAACCATTTTCAAACTTCTGCTCTCATTCTTGGGGTAACGGGCCATTTCAGGTACTTCAAACTGCTTAAATTAATATTGAAAAATAAACCGGTTAACCACTGTACACTGGTGGAGGTGATTCCTTCTGTCGTGTCCGCTTGCTCCCTAAGCTTTAACTTTCACAAGAAATCTGCTCACCCTGATCCGAAGGAGCAGGTCGGCGTACCAGGCTCCTAAGCTAAGAAGAGAGGGATAGGCATAACGTGTCCAGGATTCAGGAACGTTGTCGTAGAAGAGAGCGTTTGCCAGCTCTTCCATATCTGCTGTAATCGTTAGCTCTCCCTTTAAAAAAGAGAAAAGTCTGGGCAGTTTTATCTGAAGAAAGCAAGCCTGACGGAGTGTTTGGTCTCAAACTCCTCACGAAGCAGGAGGCTGGTGCTGTCCAGCCGTACCCAGCACAGCGGGATGTGTAAGAGCGCGAGCAGCGGTAGCCGAGCGCTTTCTACAAGGCAAGGTCTGAAACAAGCAACAGCCGTTTGCAAATCATGGGAAATTGTTTGCTGGGGAGAGGCACTTTCTAGGTGGCTGCCTAATGCATACCTTTAGTCCCAAGTCTAACTCTTTCAAAGAGCGCCTGATTTCATGGGTCAGGATGTTCATTCTTTCACATTCCTGGAAGGCAACTACAACATACGGGGTCTTGTCCACCGCTTTCGCCATGATGTCCACCATATTGAACGGCTCTGGCAGCCTCTCGATAATCTCATCTAGGACTGACTTCACCTGGAAAGAATATGCCACAGAGCTGCTCTTATCAAGGGAAAAATGCTGTAGGTTAACAGTTAATTAACTTAGTGAGATTTTTCTTTTTCTGCCTTTGTGTTTTCCTGTGCTTCCTCCTCTGTTACTAATACGCCATTCTTTTACTAACTGCTCTTGGATCTTAAAAAGCTGCAGCTCTTTTTTGATAGCCAAAAAGGTAAGAACTGAAGCCACAGAGTCAGGAGGAAGAAAAAAATCTGTATCTTTAATAGTTGCCATCATGAATGGACATTACTAAGCCTGCTCCCTCTGCTGAGGACGCAGCATGTGAGCTGTGTTTTGCCACTGGCGCATCTCGACCCCATCAAAGAGTGACTGTTCTGAGCGCTGCTGACTTCTCCAACCGCACCACGTGTTCAGATGGAGCGAGCACACGGGAACCGCTGGGGCGGCGTCCCGGCCCCTTCTCTTTACCCTCTGGGTTCCTCAGAAGTGCTGGAGGAGAGCAGCTCATGGTCTTGTGATGTGTGTGACTAGCTGCCTGCCTGCCTGGGAGCCAGACTGACGCAAGAGCAGGGAGGAGGGCAGAGCGCTGCAGATGGGGAGGGACAAATAGGCAGCCACGGCCAGTGCTTTGTGTGCCCTGGGCTGCGGTATCACCGCTGCCTTCTTGGCAGCTGTAGAGTGGTGAAGTGTTTGCTCATGTTCAATGACATTACCAATGCCAGAGACTGGCGAAGTTACTGAAACAGAAAGGAGAGCCTGGTCACAGAGAGACCAAGTGCAAATATACTTAAATAAAAAACTTGACAGGAGTGTCCAGCTGAGCAGGGACTGCAGCGTTTGTCGTGCGCTCTGCACTAGCGGCTCCCCCTTCTTCAGGCTGCCAGCCTGTGGCATTAGGTACTGGGCTAGAATCACATCTCTGTGCTATCCTGCACTGGTAAGAAATCAGTTATTATTACAGGTCATCTTCTGTCTGATGTGTGTGGGCCCGTACCTGTCCTCCCCATCCGGCCTCTGATTTGTCATTGTTTAAAGAGGCAGAAACTTGACTTGCCTTTTCCTCTCGGGAGACGCCTGAGCCTCCTCCAGCATCTGATTCTTTGGGCTGCATTTCCAAAACTGTCCGAAAAAGCCTGTCTGAAGTGACGGTCAGGAAGCCAATTTCTGCATTGGGGTGAAGGCCGTACAAGTAGGGGCTCTCCGGTGGCAGGTTGTCATCGATGTACTCGTGGTAACCCTAAGCGCGGGGCAAGCACTGACATTAATTTAGGGGGTGCATACAAAGGAGCAGGAGTTTCACTTCAGTCTTGAAAATACGTCATCGCCTTTTGGTGGTGGTGCTTCACAGCTGGCTGGTGTTGCTTATTCAAGATGTGTTTTTTCACTCGTGTCTTACCTAAGTTTTTCCCTTACCACCCCAGCCACGGGAATTGTTTTTGCAGCGATTCTGCATGTTTCCATGGGGTTGAAACTTTTCCCCCTGCATTCCACCTTGGTTAGCATGAGAGGACTCTGACTAGTGTGCATTTATAGAGTGGTGGTTTTCCACAGCAAATGGCAACCTTAATCTTTCTTACCTTGTAATCCAAGCTGGGAGGGATCAAAAACCCTGGAGCTAAGTACACTTCCCCTTCCAGCATCTCCTCACGGACGTATTCACTCAGGTAAGTCCGACACAGCCGCCGGTCCCAGTCATCTGTGATATGCCCCCCGTACATGATTTCGCCAAAGAGGTACCGGAGATCATCCCATGGGACCTACAAGAGAGGGGCGCCGTGGGGTTTCGGTAGCCTGTGTGGCTCCCCAAAAGTCCCCTGCAGCCCAGGGACGCTGCACGACTGTGGAGCTGCAGGGCCATGGAGCAGCAGCTCCTGGGTTGACCTGTGCAGCATCCAGGGAAGCGACAGACCCTGGACGCGCAGCGGCTCGGTGACAGAGTGAAGGGGAGCAAGACAGGGGACCTTGTCTCGGGTGTCTCTGTGTCTGCCCACAGATTTCACCGTGTGCCGGTATGGACGCAGCCATCCCTACTGCGAGCCCCCGTCATCCTGTCTTTATTCAGATCAACACTGATCATGTCTGTGAGGCCAGGTGAAAGCAGGTGTCTCCTAAGGGTGAGACCTCAGTCCTGTTCATTGCACCTTCATTCTCAGGGCAGGCTTTGCCTTTTAGGTGGAAAGTGGTTTAAAAAAAAAAAAACAACCCAACAAAGCACCGAGGCGTGAGCCAGAGCAGGCACTCGTCCCAGCCTGGTGCTGAAGGCATGCTTTCCACCCAGCTCAGGCATGAGGGCTCTGCACCTTCACCTGCCAGAGCGTGCAGGCAGCTCCCTGGGGAGGAGGGGAAGCACTACCGGCAGCGCTGTGTTTCCTTAAGAGATGGCACTTGTGCAGCAAACTGATGTGTTTTTTTTTTTTTTTTTTTTTCCCCCTAAAAATTGTCATAGTGTGTATTGTGCTGAGGTACGGTCACTTTGGAAGTCCCTTACCTTGGGGTTAGCCTCCAAGTAGTTGTACAGGACGTTAATCGATATGGTCAGGTCACCGTTGTTGAAGGGGTAAGATCTGTTCCAGCCCTGAGTGCCAAACTTGCGCCGCTCGGCCACCACCGCGTGGAAGTAACAGAGCGCAAACAAGATGCATTTGAACTCGATTTCTTTGCTGCACATCTCTAATGTGTCCTGCAGTGGAATAAAAATGAGAATGTGTTTGCAAGTGAATGAGTGAATATCGCTATCGGCCATCCTTCTATTGAAGAAAATTAACGATGGCAAAAGAGAACTGAAGGTTGTTTATTTAAAAAAAAAAAAAAAAAGCATGGGTTGGCTCCTGGCGCAGCATCTGTGTCTGCAGTGATGCCCCCAAAGATGCTCAGCCCGTGAAACCCCGGGGATGGGGTGAGCTGGACACACTGACCCAAAAAAGTTGAAAGCAACTGGCTGTGCATTGCACGACCGCGGTGGGGCGAGGGTACCTGGGTGAAGAGGTCGAGGGCTTTGTGCAGGTTGGCATACATGCCCGTCGGCGGCTCGTTGGTGATTTTGATGGCGTTTTCCAGCAGTCCCTGCGGGATGATGTGTGCCTCGGGGCTGGGGGCTGGCTCAGCGCTCATGAACACCCGGTAGTCGGCGTGGCTGCCCAGGCTGTACTGCTCCACCATCTTCTCCAGCGTGCCCAGCCACCGGGCCACCAGATGAATGTTCTGCAACAGGAACCCCTCCTGTACTGCTCGGGCTGAAGTACAACCTCGGGAACCACTTGTGTCCCCCCCCCCCC